AACTTAATGCTTCTTGAAAACTTCTGTGTGGAAAAGGACTAATGGAAATATTTTTTTGTGTGTGAATATTGTTTTGGTTTTGAGACAAGACCTTATTACATAGCCCAGGCTGACTTAGAACTCAGTGTGTGATCTAGGGTGGCTCAGCCTCAGGGCAGTCTTTCTACTTCCCCCTCTTGAGTGCTAGAATTACAGATAGGCATTACCATGCCTGGTGGAGTAATTATTTTTCCTTTACAGCTAAAGAGACTGGTAGACTAATGTCTGTCTGTCTGTCTGACTGTGATAAAGTAAGAGTACAGCTAAGGCTGAGGAGTCATGCCAGTTCAGAGTGCAGCCCAGGCAAGAAGTGTATCTATTTGAAGGTTAATGAGACCATTTTGGGTTTTCTTTCTTTTTTAATTATTTATTTTTATTTTATGTGCATTGGTGTTTTGCCTACAGGTAGGTCTGTGTGAAGGTGTCAGATCTTGGAGATCCAGATAGTTGTGAGCTACCTTGTGGTTGCTGGGAATTGAACCCTGGTCCTACTGAAGAACAGCCAGTGTTCTTAACCACTGAGCCATCTCTCCAGCCCCTCCTTTCGTTTTTTTTTTTTTTTTCAAGACAGGGTTTCTTTGCATAGCCTCTACTTCCCAGGACTAGGATTAAAGGCATGCTCCATCACTGCCCTCCCGGCTTAATGCTAATTCTTAAGATACGAAACTAGTAGAGAAAGATGATAAAATCATATTTAAAATTTTAGTAGTGATATACTGTTGGAAACCAGTATGTGAGGAATTTCAAGTAGGAATGGAGATAAAGGACATGATCTAGTGAAAACAAGCTTCTATATTGAAGAGGTTAGCTGATTTCTAAGCAGCATTAATAGGAAAAAAAAATACTAACAAAAGTCAAGTAAAATTTATGAATCTAACTTTTAAAACATAGCCTTCACACATGTGCATGTCCTCACACAAACACAAAAGCATTGTTTACTTCTATAGCTCCAGCCCTTGTCTCAGCTATTTCTTAATCATTTCCAACTACTGTCGCATGTGCCTCTAACACTTCGGTGGGTGGTGATAACAGCAGGTGCACTCACTAGGAACTAAAAGAATGATTGTACTCTACTTTAAAGGTTAAAAACGACAACAAACACCAACCATGAAAGATCCAAGTCGCAGCAGTACTAGCCCAAGCATCATCAATGAAGATGTGATTATTAACGGTCATTCTCATGAAGATGATAATCCATTTGCAGAGTACATGTGGATGGAAAACGAAGAGGAATTCAACAGACAAGTCAGTTTTGTGTACAAACGTGTTTCTTTTGTAGCTTCATATCTTTCAAAGATGTGCTTGACCCCAGTGTGTGTGTGTGTGTGTGTGTGTGTGTGGTCATTTATATGCAGGGTAAAGATTTGTGTGTTACTACTCTTACTTTATTTGGCTGCTAATTACTGCGAGGCTTAACTGCTCATTAAAATTACTTGGGCAGCTTGTTTCGGGGTCACACTCTAGAGATTGGTGCAGAATAATAGGATAGAGCCCAGGAAGCCAAAAAAGGTCCCAGATAGTTCAGTTTGAAGACCACTGCCTTAAACCAAATCATATCTCTGTATTACAGTATAAATCCGAGAGAATTTAAGAAATTGAAGCACACAGACCATAGATGTCTGGTGCAAAATTGGTCTGTTTTTCACCTAAGAGCCTCAATCTTAATCAACCTTAAAATCTGCTACTACTCTTTAGAGAACTCTGGTAGATTGGTAAGCGACATCTTTATCCCCATTTCTACTATTCTCGCTTTCTTAGTCCCAATCCTGATCGTTTGGTTTGGCAATCAGTAGGTAGCCTAATATCTCTGTATCCAATGATGGACATTGTAGAGTAAAACAGTTTCTATCATTTCAGTGAGATTCAATAGAGGTGCGGGGCTGTTATTAAAGGAGAAAAGGGTTGTCTTGTTTGTTTTTAAGGCAGGATGTCTCACTCAGTAACCTGCAGAAATACACCAGCCTATTTCTGCACCCCCCACGTCCTGGGATTAAAGCCATGAACTTTAAGATTTATTTTTACTTTTTTTGGTTATGAGCCTAACCTAATGGCTGAGCCATGTATGCGCAGGTGCAAAAGCCAGGAGAGGACTTTGAATCCCCTAGTGCTGGAACTGCAAGCAGTTGTGAGCTGCCCAGCGTGGGTGCTGGGAACAGGTCCTCTGAAAGAACAACTAGTGCTGTTCAGCACTGAATCGTTTCTTCCAGCCTCCCTTTCTATTGGAGGGATTGGGGTGGGGGTGTCAAAACAGGGTTTCTCTGTGTAGCCCTGGCTGTTTAATCTCTACCTCCTAGACATTTTCCTGTAGTCTTTATGCAGATTGGGTTAGGGGCTGAGTATTTCAAGGCTTCATGGGTAATTCTGATAAATATTTCTCGAAGAGATTATTTCTTTATTTTGAGGATTTTCTTTCTTTATTTATTTTCATTTTGCTTTTCAAGATGGGGTTTTTCTGCATATCCCTGGCAGTCCTACAACTCACTCTGTAGACCAGGCTGACTTCCAATGCACAGAGATTCGCCTACCTCTCCTCCTGAGTGCTGGAATTGAAGGCATGTGCTGCTACCACCTGGCTCACTCCTTTACTTTTTCCCTGCTGTTTTAAATGGAGAGACATTCTGTAGAGACAAATAAAGACCTAGAATAACCCTAAACAGCTCTTCCTCAGTCTTTATGGGGGTTTTGTTTTCTTTTGTTACCTGTAGTAAAAAAGCAGCAGAGGAAGTTTTTAATTTTTGAATTTTGTTATTGGAGATCAGACCCAAGGCCTCATGCATAGTGATATACTATACCAGTGAGCTGCATTTCTGGCTCTGATACTGTGGTTTGGTGTTTCTGTTTTGTGTGTGTGTGAACTCACCATTCTCCTTTCTCAGCCTCCATAGTACTAGGATTACAGTTGTGCACTTCTGTGACTGGCTCTTATGGGAAATTTTGAGAAATGGGTACATTCTATATTATAGGCTGGCCTAGAACTCACTGTAGTAGTTTTACTTTGTTTTTCAAGTGTGTAAACCATACAGCCAGCCACATTATTATTTGATATGGTTCTGTTGTGTTGTGTTGTGTTGAGACAGGGTCTCACTGTGTATTCTTGGCTGGCCTCAAACTCAGGTATCCACTTGCCTGCCTCCTGAGTGCTGGGATTAAAGGCGTGTACGACCTACCACAACCTGTTCTCACATTATGATTGCAGGTGGCTTCGTTTAAGATATTTTAAGCCATACTTAGGGATGTCCTACAGCTATGCTATAATTATCCCTTATTTTTTGGTAACTCTAGATAGAAGAGGAGTTGTGGGAAGAAGAATTTATTGAACGTTGTTTCCAAGAAATGTTGGAAGAGGAAGAAGAACATGAATGGTTTATTCCAGCTCGAGATCTCCCACAAACTATGGACCAAATCCAAGACCAGTTTAATGACCTTGTTATCAGTGATGGCTCTTCTCTGGAAGATCTTGTGGTAAAAAAAAAAAAGTCATTTCTCATCTTTTTAGACCCTACCTCATCTTTCCCATAAGTGGAAAATCCAGCTACACTCTATTTAAGAAGAGTTCCACATCTCTTCCCTTTGAAAAATTTCCCACTCTTTTTAAGCGTGGAATCAGAGGTCCCCCAGTCTCACATAGGATAACTTGTTGGTTCAACCTTGATGTTGCATTAAACTTATGTTGCCCTTGAAGTATCTGAATGTCTTGGAGTAGTACAAAATTTACAATATTACCATATGGCTTGATTATATAAAAGTACCTTGATGAAAGTGTTGCTCTTTATCACCTAAACATTTGGTAAAATCTGGAAATTCTTATCTGATAAAATTTCTTAGATCTCCTGATTGGGTTTCTTTGAGATGCTTTTACAAGTGTTTGTCAGGAAAAGAACGCAAAGCTAGATTTATGTTCTTGCTTATCCTCAGTGTCATCACTGCTAATGCCCTTGCAATAAAGTTCTCATCGTCACTAAAGTAGACCCTGATGAGTCTTTTACTAAAATTAAAAGACAAGACTTTGTTTTGTGAAGTGGGTGGATGTTTGAAACAGGGTCTCACTGCAGCACAATCCAACCTGAAACTCAGTGCATAGTCCTGACTAGCCTCAGACTTAGAGAGTAATCCTCATGCCCCAGTCTATCAAGACCTGGAATGACAAGCATGAGCCACCATGCTCCACATGCAATTACATTGTTTTTCTGGTTTTCAATGTTCATTTTTCTTTTTTTTTTTTTTGGGGGGGTTTTCGAGACAGGGTTTCTCTGTGGTTTTGGAGCCTGTCCTGGAACTAGCTCTTGTAGACCAGGCTGGTCTCGAACTCACAGAGATCCGCCTGCCTCTGCCTCCCGAGTGCTGGGATTAAAGGCGTGCGCCACCACCGCCCGGCCAATGTTCATTTTTCTAGCCAAGAGAATTATCTGGAACTCCTGGGCTCTGGAATTTCTTCATTGTTGTCTGTTCAGTGTGCATTCGTTTACTAAGCTGTTGTCATAATCACCTAAACTTGAAGAATCAGGTTTTAAGCATGGTAATTGTTTAAAAGCATCCCAGAGGAGATAGTTTAGAGTCATCCTCCCCGTCATGCTTTGGAAACCATTCTGCAACTAAAGGACAATGCAGAAAACATTTACATTGTGGTATAATCTTTGTTGCAGTAAATGACAGTGACCTAGCTGAACAAGGTATATGATGTCAAGATGCTTGCTTATTAGCCGTGTCAAATGATACTGGTGCTCTGATGAACCTTTGCTAGTCTTGAGTATAAGCTGGATTTTGCATAAATCCATAACACAGAAACTGATTAGTTTAACTCAAACTATTTGAGAGTACTTTAATTCATTCTTAGACTCCTCTAGCTGCCAGAGATTATATATAAAAGACTTCTGGGTTTTACAATTAAACCATGTTTGCTCTTCTTAAGGGTTTTTATTTCTGTGTATATAATGCTGAAGATCAAGCCCAGGCCTGAGACATTAATTAAAATTTAGATTTATTTCCCTGTGGGAATGGGGGATATTTATCTAAGTTATTGGTCCAATATATTGTTTAGTATTATGTTTTGGTCTTAAAATACATGACATTAGAATTAAATTCCGTTTAAAAAAAAAAAGCCTACCTGCATGTCTGTATTTACCCCTGGAATCTCCTGATTTCCTTTTTGTCAACTCTCAATGTAGAGAATTTCCCACTATTTCTTTACATTGACATGTATGCTTAGGAAAGTAAACGTGGGAAACAGAATAATTCTAGTGCAAGTCTCTAGAGTGCTTAGAGACTTTGGCCTACTCTTCTGATGTTTTGTAAGCTGATATGGAAACAGTCTCAGAAGGTGATTTGTCCAAGCTTACATGGGAATTTGGAAAAGGCAGAGCTGAGAATCCCAACTCAGGTCTTCTGTCTTCTGTGTGGTTTTCTTTTCTTGTTACGTCCAGTTCCTCCTGTAGAAAGATAACCCCCGAGTTTTCAGTGACGGTCATAAGTAAAATTCACCAACAGCCAACAATGCCCAGTTATTCTACTGTAAACTTATATTTAACTTACTTGGAAGTCACCCAGAGCATCATGTACAGTTGACAGAAGTCCTTATCCCATGCTATTAATATTCCTATAGTTTATGTGAAGTTAGTGGGGTCTTTTTATTGTTATGTTTAATGTCAGCTCCTACTTTAGAAGTTGGTAAAATAGGATATAGAGGCTTTGTGTGGTGACAAATGCCTTGAATCCCAGCCCTTGGGAGGATAGACTGGTTGATCTCTGAGTTCAAGGCCAGCTAGGACTGTACAAAGAGACCTATATAAAACAAAGAAGGATATAAACAGTCCATCACATTTCTTTCTCTTTCATAGGTTTTTGGGGTTAGGTATAACTGTAGTCCAGTCTGTTGTATTTTTCTAAGATATTTTTTACATAAGGATCTAGGCTGAATGCTTCTGAGAATCCACAGCCAACTATAATGAATTTGCTTTTTTTTTTCTTTCTTATGTATTTATTTTCCAGGTCAAGAGCAATCTGAATCCAAATGCAAAGGAGTTTGTTCCTGGGGTGAAGTACTAACATATTTGAGTAGACGGGGCCCTCTTTTGGTGGATGTAGCACAATTTCCACACTGTGAAGGCAGTATTAGAAGACTTCATTGTAAAAGCTCTCTCGTCACTGTGTTACACTTATGCATTGCCAAAGTTTTTGTTAGTCTTGCATGCTTAATAAAAGTGCTGAGACTGTTACTAAGTAAGAAGCTGTCACACAGTTCCTGGAAGTAGAATTGGCCCCGTGGCTTAATGTAAAGACAGCAGTGGAAGAAGCACCAGTCAATTGTGACAAAGAACCAAATTAAACAAGCTCCAGCTCTCACTGAATTGTCTGTCTTTGAGGGTAGGTGGTCCCTGAGGATTAATTGACACTTTAATGTCTACACTTTGTAAAATAAGTAAATGTGTAAGTTTAAATTAAGTTCTGATTGTTAAGCAGATTTCTCAGTTGTATTTGTCCATTGAAAATGACCTTTTCTGAAGAAAGTGTTAACTAGCAGTAAGTTGTTACACAAGAATGTCTGCAGAGGGTACGGTGGTGGTCAGTTCAGAGCCAGGCTGGCTTTTGCCTGGTGCGTTATCATATTAGGAACACTGGGTTCGCCCAGCGGTGGTGAACTTGAAGAAGTAGGACTTGAGGCGTGTGTCTTCTGCGGATCCACTGCATCATAGCCATACGTGTGTGACGTCTGGCACAGGACCAATACCAGCCCATCATCCACTGGAGCACTAAAGAGGCGGAAGCATGATTTTGAGTGGTGCTCTTCCTTGCTTTGTTAACTATCATGACTATAGTCTGCAGCACAATTTTTCTTTTAACAAAGCTAGAACAGTTTTGGCTTCTTAAACTTCATATTTGGGTAGGTTAAGCTGCCATACGTGTTCAGTGTGAATAGTGTTTAAGTTGAAAATATTGTAAAAAAATTATATTTTTTCAAAAATATTTAAAAAAATAAATAATAGTAGAACTGAGCTGGTGCTTGTGTTTATTGGTACAGACTCTCCAGTATCGGTACTGAGTGTGGGTGAACTGTGCTCAGAGAGGAGGACTTGCTCAAATACACAGGAGCTATGCAAGTGTCTCTCCAGTATTTGACTTGTCCTTGCTTTTTTGTTGTCTAAGACCAGTGTCTGAAATCTTAGATAGCCGTGGTGTAAAACTGGTGTGCTGGGGATATGTGTTAATGGTAGAACACCTGTTTAGCATGAGCAGCAGCATGGATTTCTCTTGATATTATAGGGCTGAAGACTAAAACGGGCCACGTAGTCATTTATTTCATCATTTTTGCTTATTTTTAAGACGGGGTTTCCTCTGTGCAGTCCTGGGTGTCCTGGAACTCACTCTGTAGACCAGGCTGGCCTCCAACTCACAGAGATCCTCCTGAAAGGCATGCCTACCACTCCCGACTTTATGTTTTGAGACACCATATTGCTACATAGCTAAAGCCAGCTTTAGCTCAGCAGCTCAGGTTCCTGCTTCGGGTTTTTGGGTGCTGAGATTATCTTACTCTTCTGTGTGAGTGTTTCTGGCTCACATTCATTGTGGAAAGCGCTGAGAAGTTACTACTTTTTATCTATGGTTCTGGAGGTTGGACTTAGGGACTATTTTCCGCATGGCAAGCAGCCACTGTTAACTGGTCATTTGTCTCTTCTGAGACAGGGCTTCTCTGTGCAGCCCTGGGTGTCCTGGGACTCACTTTGTAGACCAGGCTGGTCTCTAACTCACAGAGATCTGGCATTACATCATCAAGCCTGGCTTTAATTTTTCCTTTTTCTTTTTTCTTTTCCTTTCTTCCTCCCTCCCTCCCTTCCTTTAGTACTAACTTTTTGAGAGCTAACAGGTGTTGCCTTTATTTTTTTACTTAATGTAGATGAATGTTTTGTCTGCCTGAATATAGCCTTTTTTTATTATAGACAATAAAAGGGGTGAATGTGGTGATATATTATTTGTATTTTGATAAATCTTGCCTGAAGACCCACTAGAGGTCAGGCAATGGTGACATACACCTTTTATACCAGGATTTGGGAGACAAAGGCAGATGGATCTCTGAGTTCAGCCTGGGCTACACAAGATCAATGCAGAAACAAATCCAGGTGGTGGTGGCTCACACCTTTAATCCCAGTCCTAGGGAGTCACATGCCTTTAATCCCAGCACTAGAAGGAATATAAAATGGGAGGAGAGAGGCTTAGTCTGCAGTCGCCCTGCCTTGGTAGAGGGAAAACTTCTCTAGTGGCTTGACCTTTGCCTGTGGTCTTCAGGCAAGATTTTATTTATCAAGATACAAATGATATACCACTACACAGAAGAGTATTGATCTTGTAGGACTACAGTTATAGACCCTTGTGAGCTTCCATATGGATGCTGGGAATTGAATTCAGGACCTCTGGAAGAGCAGCCAGGCTCTTAACCACCAAACCATCTCAACAGCCCCAATTTTCTTTTTTTTTTTTAATGTGTGTATCTTTGAAACTTGTTCTTTGTGTGTGTGTGTGGGGGGGGGGTCCATAATACCTTTATTTTCTCAAACCAGCCTCAATCTCATGTGCCTCCTTAACAGCTCGCATAGCAGACACAAGTGCCTTTCAGCCTTCAGTGAACCACAGCTCGTAGGGAGAAAGCATTTCATTAACCCAAACCAGGGGTCTGCATTTTAGGCAAAGTCAGGATTCAGAACTGTCCACACATTTTGAAGCCCTAAAGACAAATGGTCACCCCCCTTACGGGCTTGTACTAACAGATTTGTGGTACTGAAGTAATTAAAATTATTTTAGTTTTATGACCACTAAGATTGAAACAAAATGGTATATGTGGAATGATTTTTCCTGTTTAATGTCTTAGTGTTTCAGCCTTTTCCATACCAAACATTATTTAGGTGTAGTGATATACACCTGCAAAGTTCCTGCACTTGAGCTGTGAGATGGCTCAGTGGATAAGAAAGAGCACTTGTGGCTCTGGCAAGAGGATCCTTGGCTTCCAGCACCCATGTGGTAGCTCACAACTCTCCATAACTCTGGTTCCAGGAGATCCCGTGCTTACTGCTAACCTGCAGGCACTGAACAGGTGCATGACACACAGACATGCAGGCAAAACACACACATAAAATGAATTAAAGTTTTTTTTCTTACATTTTGAGAGAGGCTATGATAGAAGGATCATGAATTGAGAGGGAGTGAACTAATCATGGTGGCTTATGCCAATAATGTCAGTACTTGAAAGACTGAAAAAATACATACAAGCATAAAAGAATTTGGAAACGCAGGCTTACGGTGACTGCTTATAGACTGCTTGTCCTAAATGCTGCTTATATCTGGTAGGATTAATATTGCAATTTACTTGTAACCATCGGTGACCCACAACAGTTGGGAATCTCTGCTCTCATTATAACATGGCTAAGGAATTCCACCCAAAATCCACATAGGATTTTTTATCCAGCCTACTCTCCCCTTGAAGAAACTTGAAACAGATTACAAAAAATGGAATTCAGGTTTTTTTTTTGTTGAAACATGTTGGATTATTCAGCCTCCCACAAGAGTCGTAACACATCCTACCTTTCCTTTCGTAGTTAGTTTCAGACCTTGGTGCACACAGATGCAGTTTCTGTATTGTTTGGAGTATCTTCTGGAACTGGAGTCTGATTTTCTGACTTGTTAGCAAATCCTCTGAAGACTGGGCAGATAGGAATGTATCTGAGGAAGGCACTCCTTTTTACCATGGCCATCCCAAAGGGGAAGTCATAGCTCTTCAGGCTGGCTGACGTCTCACTGTTGGCATGGGCTCCAGCTTTCCACTGTACCAGGCCTCTTTCCTCTGGGCTCCCTGCAGGAGGACAGTGGGGTCATCTAAGAGGGTGACAGCCCTGTGCTGCTTCCCTTTCATACAACCAGTTGTAACGCATACTTCTGGAATCAAGTCTTGAGTTTGCATTGCTAGAACGGAGCCCAAGGCAGTTCTATATGCTAGATAAGCACTCTCTACCACCCTGGATGCCTTACTTGCCATAGCTCTGAGAAACTCTAAAAGATTAATAATGGGGCTAGAGAGATGCCTCCATGTTTAAGAGCACTAGCTAGTCTTCGAGAGGACCTAGGTTCAATTCCCAGCACCCACATGGCAGCTCACACACACCTGTCTGTGATTCCAAGATCTGACACCCTCATACAGACATACATGCAGGCAAAACACCAATGCATATAAAATGCAGTGTTACAATAAAATTTTTTAAAGATTAATGCTGTGGAACCATAGCATCAGACTCTGCTAACTAATTTCATTATTTCAGAATGCTCCTGGGAGGTGTGTAGGCACTATTGCACAAAATTTTGAGAAGAAACAGGCTAAGTCATTTTACTCTGTCTGGGTTGGGCAGTGGTGGCGTACTTCTTTAATCCCAGCAGAAGCAGGTGGATCTCTAAATTCAAGGCCGCCTGGTCTAAAGAGAAAGTTCCAGGACAGCCAAGGCGACCTGTCTGGGAAAACCCAAAAGATGGATGGATGGATGATCTGAATACAGGGTTAGTGTGTGCTGGGTTCGTGGGACCCAAGAAGTAGGATCTAGATTATATACATAAGGACGTATTTTTTTTAACTTTTTTTTTTTTTTTTTTGAGACAGGGTTTCTCCGTAGCTTTTGGTTCCTGTCCTGGAACTAGCTCTTGTAGACCAGGCTGGCCTCGAACTCACAGAGATCCGCCTGCCTCTGCCTCCCGAGTGCTGGGATTAAAGGCGTGCGCCACCACCACCCGGCTTTTTTTAACTTTTTGTCACGTTTATCGTTTATCCTTTTTTTAAAAAAATATTTACTGGTCTAGAAGAGCTAGTTCCAGGATAGGAACCAAAAAGCTACGCAGAAACCTGTCTCGAAAAATAAAAATTTTATATATATATATATATATATATATATATATATGTTTATCCTGTAACTATGAAAGTGCAGAGATCAAATGATAAGCACAGGAAATAGGTTCTCTTGCTCCATCATGTGGGCCCTGGGGGTTGGACTTAGGTCATCCTGCTGAGCCGTCCTGCCAGGCCAAGGACACAGATCTTGAAACACTATCAATATTAAGATTCACTCTAACTATACATTTGGGAAATAAATCATTTCTATAGTATGAATGAAAACCAAGCTGAGCAAAACTCTTTGATGGAGGAGGGTGCACCTATGGGAGAAGACCCAGAATCTCAGAGATTGCAGGTTCTCAGAAGGGCTGGGGCTGACAAAGACTGAAATAATTCCAGTGTAGTGGGAGGAGTGAGGGCAGCCAGAGCTAAGAATAACCCAGAGCCACTGCAGCCTCGAATAAATCTCAGGCTCTTAACAAGGAGGGCTGGAGGCCTCGGAAAGGCTGCCCCTGAGCTGTTGGCATACACACGACTGTGGTCCCCGTGCCCCACTTGCCTCTATGCCGCTGGCATAGCCTAAAAGCCTGCCTAGCCCAGAGCGTCTTCCCACTAACAGTCTGGTCCCTGTCTCGTGCTCCTCTCAGGATGGAGCTGCCTTATCTGCAGATGACTCCAGCTTAGTCTCAGCAACTTGTTATTTAAACCCAGTTTTATGTCCCATTTTGTGGGAAGAACTCCTCAAAACAAACATCCTCAATTTGCCTCGGCCAAGCTGGTAAATTCCACCAGCTTTTTCTGAACCACATTTGCTGCAGGAATAAGCCAGGTATGGTGATACGTCAGATAGCAGATAAAGACGAGAATAGCAAGTTTAAGCCAGTCTGAACTGCCATTCCTCAAGAAACCATGGTTAATAACCACTGTCTTCATTGAGCTTTCCCCACTCAGTTTCCAAAGCCTGTCTGCAGGGGTCATGTACAGTAACTGTTGATTCTCAGTTACTTTATGATGTGGGCATTGTTTGGTTTCAATACCGGGAATTGAATCTTAGGGCCTCACGCATGCTTGGCGCGTGCTTCACTGCTGATCCAGCCTGGCCTGTCAGGTTTTGAGGATGGTGTGAGATCTCATGGCTGTCAGTCTCTAACATGTATTTACTGGGCATACGCATACTGGGCTGTCACATTTCCACATTCCCTGCAAGAGCTGGGGCAGCGAGGGTTCACCTTGGGGTTCTGTTTGCGTAGCAGGCTGCTAACTTACTTGGTAGATTTTGCCCCCACAAACCAGTGCTGTGTTTTTACCTGTCCAACTCTGCAAAAACAAAGGCACTTCCAGCCTGGTGGCCATAAAGAATTGGTGGGAGACTCCCAAAACCCAGAACTGACTCTCCAGACCTAGGGAATATGCCATGCTACAGGCTCTTCCCCCAGCCAGTGGACACTCCGTCAGCTCGTCTGTTCCTGCTGCTGCATGGCATCAGACCTGGCCATCTGTCCGCAGGAACCAGGCCATCTGTTGTACATAGGAGTATGGCCTGGTTCTGTGCTTCCTCCCAGCACTGACCCAGTACCTGGCACTGTGTTGTCCAGTATGAAAGCAAGGCACCCGCCAACAAACATCTCCGTGGTCAGCAGCACAGTGAGGATCTGATCCACTTCGGAAATGCCTGTGGAATAAGTCGAGGGCCAGTGGGCTAGTGGCCTTTTCTAGGAGGCTCAGGGACTTCCCACCGGTGTCGCCCACTATCGTGGCCGTGGGCTCTTCAAAGCCCTGACTTTCAAGCCTGTCATGCTTCTGTCCCATATTTTGGGACAGTCTTCTGTCAACTGCTAGTTATTGGCTTAGGACAACATTTAGCCCCTGGGAACTCTTGTTCGGTTTGGAAATTAAATGAGCACGTATAAAACTTGATCAATAGCTAGACTCATGCTTGTAATCCAGCCTCATTACAGGAGCTAGGGAAGTGCTCTACCACGTCACTGGTTTCCACCCCACGTGTGTGAGAGCTTTGAGAGACGCCCCACTTTCCCCCCACATCTCGAGACAGTAGAGAACAAAGGGTACCTGTGTTGATAGCACCTGGGTTGGACTCCAGGTAATTGGGCAGCATGAGGCCAAAGAACATGGAGAATCCCAGTACAAAGAGGTTGCGGGAGGAGTTCATGTCTACAAACTGCAGATTGGACAGTCCCACGGCGGTGATCATACCTGCCACCGCAGAACTGTCAGGGATGCAGCCTGGCTGGATGGGCCCCGCCACGCCCACTGGGCAGGCATCGGCCACTCACCAAAAAGGGTACAGAACATTCCACCCAGGATGGGGTCTGGGAGAGAGGCGAAGAGGGCTGTGAACTTGCCGATGGCACCCAGGACCAGCATGATGCCTGCACCATACTGCACGACTCGACGGCTTCCCACCTGCGGAAGCCAGGGGCTGGCTAGAACCAGAAGCAGGGCCAGTTCAGGGGACAGGGTGTCAGGCATATAAATAGACCCCAGTGCTCGGTAGAGGGGAGGGTGAAGGTGGGATGCTCCCACAGGTGGGGCTGAGCCAAAGCCAAGACTACTCAGAACAGGGCTTTGCAACACAGAACAGGACAGTGCTACTCTGGCTGGTGGCGTGGCACCTTGGTAATCCCTAGGACCCCAATATTGGGGCTGGACGAGGTAGACCCGTTGCCTGTGCCCAGTAGCCCAGCAATGATGCAGCAGATGCCTTCAGTGAAAATTCCCCTGTAAAGAAATGGTGAGTGGGGTGTTGGTCCAGCCTCATCCACAGACTGTCCTGTCCCCTTGGCTCCGGGGCTGTTCAGGCTGGCATTATCCGTTGCATTCCACTCTGAAAGCCAGGAGCCAGTACCAGCACTGTGTGCCAGTGGTTACTCCCTTGGACAGTTCTGAGCTTCAATTCCTCATCTGTACCACGGAGATGATGAGGGTCCCCACCTCACAGCATGGCTAGCCATGCATTAGAACACACATAAGGAACTGGGTACACAGTTGTCTGTACCTGGTTTCCCTGGGACTCTTGCATCTCTCCGCACTTCCCAGCATTTATAGAGTAATTCCCAGTTCCGTACTCAAGGAAATGAGGGCTGGAGGTGACAATGGCTCTCTTGCCCAAGCCTCCAACCATGGGACCCAGTCCTATCCCCACAATTGTTTTCATAGTGGCCCTCAGGATCAGACATGGAGCTGGGCATACCTGTTGATAGCATGTACCGGAGGGGACGGTGCACCAGCCAGCCGGGCACAAGCATAGTAGTCACCGATGGACTCAATGATGCCAGCCAGGGTGGCACTAAACATTCCCAGGACTGCAGCCACAGTCACTGTGGGTAGGCCCCACTGACCTGGGTTGGAGACAACAGGGGTGGGGATAGACGGGGTTATTTGAAAGGGAGAGGGGCTGGTAGGGAGGGTCTCACACTGAACCACAGATCTGGCATAAGGTTTGGGGATAAACACCAGGTGGCATTCACAAACAGGGCTAATGCTAACTGCATTGTCAGCCGAACTGGAGTCAGCAGGCGTCTGTCTCACAGGAGTTCTGGCTGGAAGCAGAAAGGACCAAGTGGACTTGCTTACATGGGTAGGGGATGCGGATCCAGGGTGAGCTAGCCATGATGTCACCTCGGGCATCAGTTCGTGCCTGGAAGCCGTAGGCTGTGGGATCTGCAGGCAGCACATCAGTCAGGGTCAGCACATAGCAGAGCAGCCACACGGTCATGATGGCCAGCACGATCTGGAGCAGGTGGGGTGACGGGGTGCTGCAGGCTCCTATGTCGGCACCAGCCCCAGAACCCCCACTGATGCTCAGCCTCTAGCTGGAGCCCTTGGCCCTGCCCCAGCCTTGGCCCTGCCTCAGCTCTTCCCCTTTGCTAGTCTTAGCATCTGTCAGCTCCTCACCGGAAACATCTTAAAGATCTGGATGCGGAAGAGAGTGAAACCCTTGCCCCATCGGTAAACAGGTAGCAGGAAGGTGAGGTTGCGGAAGTACTGGGAGAACAGGACGATCAGTAGAATGGAACTGGGGGTAGAGACACAGGAAGGAAATAACTGGTAGGCCAGGCTGACGCCTAGAAACACGGCAGGAGTGAAGGGGCTGGGGTCAGAGTCTAGGATTGGACAGAAATAGTCCCGCAGTCCACTCACCAAGCTGAAATGCCCCAGTGGGAGCCAGCTCGGTCACCAGCAGCTTGGAAAACAGAGAGACCAATGAGGGAGACAGTGGGGGTGACTGTGAGAGGCCCAATGTAGCTGAGCAGGGCCCCAGGCAGCCCCATCAGCCCAATCAGCACCTCTATCGTACTGGACACCATGATTGCACCCTGGACCTAAAAAGGCAAAATCGGCTGTAAGTCACCTTGACAGGGGCCTCAACAGAATGTTCAAGTTTCTCGACCACCTCTTTGAACACAACTCAGCAGTGTATACAAACTGCCCTTCTAGCCCCTCCTTCCAGCCCATTCTCTCTACCCACCTCGCGGATCCGCGGGTGCCAGATATGAGAGGTATCCAGGGGCATACTCCAGTTACCATAGATCTCCTCTGGGGACAGAGAGAGAGAGAACACAGTGCCGTAAATACACCCTGGTATCTAGACTCTGGGCAGTTGATGGCTCCTCCAGCACAGAAATCAAAATCGAACCCACCTTCTGGGGGACACTTCCACCTCTCCAAGGCCAGGATAGCTTTGGCTGGAACTAGAAAGGCAAAGGCGCTGGCCTGGAACAGCGGCAGCCTGGAAGGCGGCACAGAGTAGCGGTGGTGGGTGGCAGAGGAGGTTGAGGGAAAGGGATAGAAACTGGAGGCTTGGAGGAAGCATTAGAGAAAGAGCGAAGGCATTGGGGCCCCAGGGGGACTCCCCTCAGTTCAAACCCCAAGCTTTGTCTTCGGCCCTCCATCTCAGCATCCGGGAGAGCCTCGCGCTCTAGAAACGGACAGCTCCTTTTCTGCATCTGAGGGCTACTTGCGACTGTTCGCATCCACCACCATTGAGCCAACCGGATTAGAATTGTTCATCCGGGGCTAGGAAACCCCAGGTCCACACAGATGCTGAAAGCCTGCTCACAGGGATGGGCAGTGGGGCAAGGAAGCAGTGCCCCTAAACGTTGGAGTAAAGAGCAAGCGAAGGAGACGCCCTACACACAGTCTCCTGGGAGCTCAGCTACCTAGCTCTAAGGCTGGCCAGGTAGATAGTGCAGCAGACAGGGAAGAAACCAGATGCTCTCAGAGAAACCGCCTGCTCTGGCTCTGCAGTGTGCGGTGTGTGAGCGCGCATGCGCTGGGGAGGGGCAGCTCACCGGATGCCCACTGTAGTCTGGATGAGAGTGGTGATACCCACACAGGTAAAGATGGTGCCGATGAGTTGACTGACCATGTGCTGGTCGCGGCCCACACACAGCGCCTCAGCCAGAAGGAAGGGCACAGCGATGGTGCCACTGAAGCACGTCAGGTAATGCTGAGGTGAGAGGAGTGTGAGAGGTGGCCCCACGACACTCACGGGAAAACGTGCATCCCAGGTCAGTGTCCTGACAGGGTGCTTACTCAAATGACATCATTCCCTAGGGATTACCAAAGCCCCAGCCTCCCCCACGTCATTCCTATGGCTTCTGTGGATGGGCCCTTCCTGCCTGTCACATGCCGTCCATAGTCCTCCCAGGCCACTTAACCTGCTTTGACACTGCTGCTTGGTGACAGTCGTCATGCTGACCTGTTTCTTTCTCTGGCCTGAAATAACTTGTGTCCAGGGAGGCCTTGGGGAAACGCACCTGGAAGCCCAGCAGGATGCAGAGGTACCATGGCGGCACATCCTCAATCTTGTACAACATGTCCAACTTGGGCTCCATGGGCAAGGATGTCTTCCGGTCCCTGGTGGAATCCTCTGCTGAACCCAGGGACTCATGCTGGAGCAAGAGAGAGCTACAGCTCAGGGCAGAGTGATGAGCTGCAAAGCCTATGCTGCCTGAACTACGGGAGTCACACGGCCTCCCGGCCAGTCAGTAAGAATGGACTGGACCGGCCACCCTCACAGCTGGTGGCCACTGCTTCTTCCCACATCCCAATTTAGGGATGAAGGCACTGGCCTGGCTTCTAGAGCCCCTAGTCCTTTAGGCTCTCTAGTGAGGCCCCTAAGTCAGAAGACAAAGAGGCCCAAGGGAGAGGTCTAGGCTTTGGATAAGACCCCTCCCATCCCACCTCTGCCTCTCGGACGTCCTTGAAGGTGCCACAGAGGGAGTAGGCCCAGCCCTTACCGACCATCTAAGCCCAGGTCAGTCAGCCCCCAAACTACAGGCTCCTTATCTTTATCCTCTCCACTCCATTCCCTGAGTGCCACTGAAAGCTCAGGACTGTCTCTTTTTGTCAAGTACATTAGAAATTTTGCCTCTGCCTTCCGAGAAAGGCCAGCAGAGGCCCAGCCCCCACCTGCCGTGTCCCTGCCCAGCTCCCCGCTTTCGCCAGCACCTGTGTCGGGCTCCTGGAGTCCTGAGCTCTCATCTCTGAGACACGGGTTGGAGAAACTTCTGAGGAGGAAAGAGGAAGGCTTTACCAAGGCCAAGGAGGACTTTACTCCGCACATCAGACATTGTTCGAAGTCAATCTGTAACCAGGTCCATAGCTCCAGATTGCGAAAGGGACACTCAGGGAGAGGTAAGGTATTAACTCTGGCCACCCAAGCATGGGGCACGTCTATCTTCTGAATATCCTACCCGCATCCAAGCCTGGCATGAAGCCTGTCCTTGTTTCCCTAGGGAGGGCCAGAGTCTACAGGGCGAGAGGGGGCAGTTGGAGGATGACAGGCAGGAGAGAGAACAGGCATGACTCACGCCTGAAGCCCTCTACATTTAGTAATAGAAGTTAATCTTATCAGCATCACCATCAAATGCCAATATCTGTGCCGTATGTGTGCTGCCACATGTCCCGCCCCTCTGGGGCTGCGGGCTGTTAACTCTTTCACTGCTGAAGGAAAAAGACTTAGTAGTGATATGACCAAGGTTAGACGGTGAGGTTTCAGGAAACCAATGCTAAACTTGGGTTAGTTTTGGTCCCCCTCCCTGCCAGCCTTCACCATATAGGGTTCCTCAGGCATCTGCAGAAAGGCCTGTGTAGCTCATGCCCTGTCTCAGGGTGAGGATTCCCCCCACACACACATTAGCCAGGATGAACTACGAGGTTTGGGGAACCCTGGGAAAGTGAGGAGGGGGCTCTTGTTGCAAAAGTGTTAAGAATTTTGTTGGGTCTAGTAGCTAATGCCTGTAATCCCTGGACTCAGGAGGCAGTTAGATCGCAGTAAGTCAGGCCCACCCTGGCCTGTATAGTGAGTTCTGTCTGGGCCAGCCTGGAATAACACTAAAGAAATAGCACCTAACATAGCAAAACCTGAACGGAACAGAAAAGGACTAGCTAATGGCTTATTAGGTGAAGGCACCTGCCACCAAGCCCAGTGACCCCAGTTTGACCTCTGGGGCATGCGTGGTGGAGGGAAAGAGCCGACTTCTATAGGTTGTCTTCTGACTGCCTCCTGTCCACCTGTGGCACTAACACCCAAACACAGACAACACAGACACACACACACACACACACACACACACAAAATAATAGTAAATAAAAGTTGGGGGCTGGCAAGATGTCTCAGCAGGAAAAGGCACTTGCTGTCAAGTCTGCCGACCTGAGTTCGATGTCTCCCCAGGACCCGCAGGCTAGAGAACTGGCTCCCACAGGTTGTCCTCCCACACACAGGCGTTACACATGCTCAGGCACGCGCACTACATCTAAATTGTTAATTATTTCAAATAACAGGAAAACTGGGTGGGATGACACATACTGGAATCCCAGCTTGAGGGCAAGAGGTTGGGAATTCAAGACCAGCCTCAAACATCCTTGGCCACGTAAGATCTTGGCAGCTCACGCTTTTAAAACTCAGCCCATAGGCGGAAGAGGCAGAGGCAGGCAAATTTCTGCCATTTCAAGGCCAGCCCAGTCCACAGAGTGAGTTCCATGACAAGGCTACATAGTAAGACCCTGCCTCAGAAAATAAAATAGAAAAACAAACAACAAACAAACAGAAAAACCCCAACTATCTCAAAGGGTTAAAATAAAAATAGCCGAACATTAAACTGAACATGGAACCTTTCTCCTTAAGCCCATCACTCTTCGCATTCACTCTGTGCCTACATCTCTTTTCCTGACCTCGGCTAGAGCGGAGAGTTAGCCAAGGCAATCACAGGGATCCAGGGGCCCATTCAGCTGGAAGGAGCTGGGCCTGGGTTGGGCACCTGCTCCCCTCCGGTTATGCTAGCCCCAACCACCCTGAAGCTACCTACTTCTGGGTTGCTGTGCCCACGGCAAGGCTGGGATGCAGGGGCACAGGCCATGCCGAGGGCCCATGGGCAGCGCGGCTCTCCAGCTGGGCAGTAGCTTCATGGCAGTCTCGCGCGTGCAATTCCCTTTCCAGCCCCAGCTTTTCCTCTGCTTCTTGGTCCACTCCTCTGTCCTGGTTCTCAAAGTGGTCTGACCTGTTGGGCCTCTGTGACTCCTCCCAGTGCTCTGCAGGTGGCAGAAAGGGAGCCCCTACCCCCCACCCCCACTACTTCTTCAATCAGTGCTCAATTCAGCCCAAACCTCACCTGGACGTGTGCATTATCACAAGGCTCGGAAGTGTGTCCCCGTGTGGGGGCCATGACGACGTTAGCACTCCAACAGCAGAAAGTCTTCTGGACCCTGTTAGGTGGTGTGACCTTTGAGGCCAAGGGCGGACCCCTCCCTGTGCTCAGATTCAGACCCCCACCTCCTGTTTCTCTGGCCACACTAGGAAGATGAAAATTCTCTTTGCTCCTCCTTACTGCTCCTAAGCCTACTATTCAAAAGAATAGGATACCTGTGGCCTGGGGTGGAGACATGACATTCTGATCGGCTCCCAAGATTAGAACATTACTTATTGTTTCTTCTCAAGAGTTAGTCCAAGCCTAGCTGGGATGGTGGCACATTCCTTTAATTCCAGCACACGGAAGGCAATAAGGTTTACATAGTGAATTTTAGGCTAGCCAAGAATAGACCCTGGTGATGGCTATTGTTGGTAATCATCTTGACTACACCTGGGATTAACTAAAACTCAAGCGGCTAGGTACACCTGTGAGAAATTCTTTCTTTCTTTCTTTCTTTCTTTCTTTCTCTCTCTTTTTTTTTTTTAACGTGCATTGGTGTTTGGCCGGCATGTATGTCTGTGTGAGGGTGTCAGATACCCTGGAACTGGAGATACAGACAGATGTGATCTGCTATGTGGGTGCTGGAAGTTGAACCTGGGTCCTCTGGAAGAGCGGGCAGTGCTCTTAACTGCCGAGCCATCTCTCCAGCCCTGGGCTTTTTCTTAATTACATCATTTGAAGTGGGAAGACCCACTTTTATTCTGGATCTTCTGAGGTGGCAGGATCCATCTTTAATGTGGGCGACACCTTCTACTGGCAGCCTATGTAGAGGACGTGGAAGAAGGAAGCTTGTTCTCTTTGCCTGCTTGTTTTTGCTCTCCCTGGCAAGTCCAGTCCTTCCCTGGCCCTGGAACCGTCTTCTTTGGGATTCTGGCAGATACTGACGATCAGCTGAGACATCATCCATGAACTGAAGCAGCAAGGAAATGAAAGCGGGCAGTCCTCTCCAGAAGCAGAATTGTTCTTTAATCAGAACAGCTGGGCATCTAGTGTGTGGGACCTTGGGCTTTTATAGGAGAGCAAAGGGGTATCTTTGGGGAAGGCAGAGTCCATCTGCCCGGCCAGCTCCACTGCGGGCTGGAGGTGGTAGATGCCAGCAGTTTTGGTGTGCTTCCAAGTGTGTGATCAGTCAGGTCAACCCTCCTGCCCGGAACTTCAGTACACCTGAGGTTTGTAGGTAATTAACCCTTCACGGAGTGTCAGGAAAAGCAGGCTTGTGCTTTTAGGCTCTCAAATGGGGAAGGGTTATACTTTTCTGTTAGGAAGCAGATAGGCATGGCGCTGGGACACTAGCTAAGAGCTCTGCATCCTGATCTGCAGGCAGCTGGCGGAGAGAAACACCGGGCCTAGTGTGGACCCATGAAAGACTCCACAGCCGCACCCACTGGCGTACCTCTGCCAATAAAGCCACACCTTTGTAGCCTGGCAACTGAGTATTCAAATATATGACCTTAGGGGAATCCATTCATATTCAAACCACTAGAGACAGAGAGACAGAGAGACAGGGCATGGTTTGGGAACCCTCAAAGCTCACCCCCATGACACATGTCCTCCAACAAGCCACACTTCCTAATCCTTCCCAAACAGTTCCATTCCTTTTAACAACAAAACTAAGAACCGAGCAGGAACTCCAGATTTCCTTGGTGACATCAGCCAGTATCACCTGGGCTCTCATTATAGGCACCTGCACAGTCCCACAGTTCACACTCCTGAGGGTCCGGCCAGCAACCTGGACCCTGGTTTTCTGGTTTCTGCGGCTTCTCTCTAGAGAGAGGGCTGGGGAAGAAGGTGGCACTGTGTATACCCTAGGGCAAGTGAAGATGCTAGACTAGGACTTAGACATTGCAGACAGCACACCCAGTGCTCAGCAATTAGAATGGCCACCCCAGATTTGCTGGCCAAATATGCTCAGTTAGCCACACAATCATCCCTTACAACACCATGCTATTCTAAAGGTTCTGCTCCTCTCACGTAAACAGACATCTCATCTATCCGAGTTGGTCATCCGGCAGCTAACGTTCCACTAGGGAATTCTCCAGTTAGAACTTCTCAGCAGCTTGCAAGTTCACCTGGCATCCACCATGAGGTGCGTAATCTGTGGCATGATGGGAGAATGGCACTGTTGAAGGTTCCAGAAGGTCGTTGAGAGCTCCGGTCAGTGGCTAGTGCTGACAGGAGAGCATGTGTGAACTCAGCAATGGTGCTGGGAACTCGACAGTCTGAAGCCAGAGTTACACAGTGGCCAGTCTCAGAGCCCCCTTGCCAATGGGAATCAGCACAAAGGCTTGAACCAACTGACTGTGGAGCACCCTGGCGCGATCCTCGGTCACCTCCAAATTTCCAGTTTTTTTGTATTGTCCGGTGGGCATTAGATTTGCACCATCAGCATTCACCTCTTGGGGCTTGTTCATTAGCCTATGGGTTGGACTCGGTTTATTAGCATATCAAAGCTTGCCAGACCTTGAGGTTACCTCCTCTTGCAGGCACTGCATTATTCCAAGTCAGACAAAATGGTTTCACTTATGCTCCTAACAGACATATTCCATGGTAGGCAGACAGATAGGAAGGGGCCCATCACTAGGTAATAAAGGTGACGGACTTCCAAAATGACTGACTTCTTTCTTACCCTTTTGACCTGACACAAAAGCCTTCCCGCTTAAAACAAGGGCCGCGTGGGCTTTTTCTCCTGCCAGCAGACCTCCTGATGATGGACTGGCTTGACAAGTTAGAGGCTGCGTACAGACCATGTTTGTGGGGCCCAGGACAGTTTGGTCACACTGTTGCCACAACAGGCTTAATAAAAACCTGAGATTCAGTTTGCTGGCAGGCAGAGAAAAGCCATAAACTGACACCTCCCAGGGAGGGACAGCATCTGAAGGGACATTGCAACCATTAAATAAGATTACTAGATGTCCCCGAGCTCAACACACACCTTATCACCCTTTTGCCAAGATACCCCTAGACAAATGTCAGTCAATCGGGTCCTGAACCCTGGAAATCCCCTCACCTCCAACCTTCCCCACCCAGGCCTGGCGTGCTCCAACCTCACCGCTATGTGGGATGGACAGTTGGTCCGATAAAGGCTCCTTGCTTTTGCATACAAGTGTGGACGCCATGGTGGGTCTTTGGGGACTCCACCATCTGGGCATAACAATGTAACAGCCATCCTTTTTTTCTCTTCAAACTGATGGACCCTAAGGGAGGAAAACTCTTCAGGGATTTAAAGGCTCAGTCTCAAGAAGACTGGATTTTCAGCCTCCCAAGGCCCCTTCACTCTTGGAGGGTACTGTTCTCGTGTGCTTGCTGCGTGTGTGTTTCCCTAACCACAACACATGCCTTTCTACAATGGCCGAGTCTATCTGCTTCTGCTTGTAGGGGTCCAGATTTCTCTGTTGCTCCCTGTTGCATTCAAGATTTTTTTTCCCTGCCTTTTAATTCTTTTTTTTTAAATATTTATTTATTTATTATGTATACAATATTCTGTCTGTGTTCATGCCTGCAGGCCAGAAGAGGGCACCAGACCCCATTACAGATGGTTGTGAGCCACCATGTGGTTGCTGGGAATTGAACTCAGGACCTTTGGAAGAGCAGGCAATGCTCTTAACCTCTGAGCCATCTCTCCAGCCCTGCCTTTTAATTCTTTAACTGGAAAACAAAAACAAAACACAGACTCCTAGACCCTAGCAGTGGGATGTGGAAGGTAGTAGTACGTTTGTATAAAGAAATATCTTTTTTTTTTTTTCTTTTGGTTTTTCGAGACAGGGTTTCTCTGTGGCTTTGGAGCCTGTCCTGGAACTAGCTCTGTAGACCAGGCTGGTCTCGAACTCACAGAGATCTGCATGCCTCTGCCTCCCAAGTGCTGGGATAAAAGGCGTGCGCCACCACCGCCAGGCTTTGTAGATATTTCTTGACTCTCAGTGGACTGAACTTTGGGCAATCCTCACAGCAAAGTTAATAACACCCCTTGAGATATTTAAGACAATATAGTTAACCTGCTATCCTGCTGTGTTTACCCGCCTTTAGGGGAGTGCTGTAACCAACCTTATTTGCCTTGAATTTCCCATGCCATCATCTTTTACAATCCAAACCAATGCATAGCTTTAATCTTAAGTTATGTGCCCTTCAATGCTCTGTCCGAAAATAATGTATGTGTGCATGCATTTGTAGCAACAATTATTTACTGAAAACAGCCAGCAGGTTAGAAGAACCCTCAAAACCAATAGCCACAAAACACCTTGCAAACAGTCCACAGTCGTGGCTACAGGCTGAGAGCATCTATTTACAGCTTGTGTTTACTAATCCAGGTCACGTGGAAGCAGTGAAGTGACTTTCCCTTGTAAAACTGTTAAAGATTTCTGTAGAGAATCCCTCATTCCTGGCCCAGGTTAGTGACTCCCACCTTTAATCCCAGCACTGGGGAAGCAGAGGTAAATGGATCTTGGTGAGTTATAGGACAGCCAGGGCTGCACAGAGAGACCTTGTCTCAAAAACAAACAATAAATACAGTGAGGCCCTTGTGTTAGGGGACAGGCACAGTTTAAACACAAACACACACAGCAGACAGATTCCTGGCAGACCAGAAGCCAGACTGCACAGTTGGAAGGTACAGGGAGAGAAATGGAGAATTCAAACTTGGCTCAATCTTGGTCAAATTAATCCAAGAGGAAGCTGCTGTGTTTCCATTCCTTTATGAATTAATCCACTCGGTAGGGCAAATAGGGATCCAGAGCAGTACCCAGTGTAAATATAAATAAAAAGAAAGGTGAA